AATGCACCATATTCAAAATTTTAACGTCACATAATAATTCTAAATGCTGTGACTATAAATGTATCATGTAACAAAATTTTAACATCCTATATTAATAGACAATCGGTATTATTAAAAAACATGCACGGTGACTCACGGAAAAGCTTTACGATGTTACTTCAACTTCAAGCAATCTTCTAGGATATAACAAAAAGTTTTTATCGGACAATTTTGTCTTATCACCAGTCAGTCAAGCAAACAGTTTCTGATAGAAACACATCGTCACCCTGTAGAAAGCCGCCATATTTGTATTTCTGCCTGTTCCCAGGCGTACAGCCCTAATTAGTCGACCTGAGTGTTTAACGCACACACACATAACTCGATAGCATGGTATCTAACGCTACGCGCAGATACAAAAAATGAAAGAAAACAGCCACGAAAGGTTTCGAAACATCTTAAAGTACTTATGAAAGAAAAAGGAACGATTTCTGTAGTAGATTTATTCAACCTGTAAATGCATGGAAAAATAACTGGTCAATGTATTCTATGCTTATGATATTTTTGTGTGTGAAGTGTTAGGTACTCAGGTAAATATAATGTTTTTAATGATCATGAGTCCATGTGTATCCACACCGGGCAGGCTGAAAAATTTGCCTGACCATGGTGGGAATAAAATCCGCGACCTTTGGATTACTAGTCCAATACCACGCAAAAATATCATGATGATGCATAGAACACATTGACATCGAAGGAGCTAGATTCAGTTCAGAAATATCACCTATATTCTAACCGACTTGACCTCGTAGCTCAGTTCGCATGAGAGCATTGAATCCCAAAGGTCGCGGGTTCGATTTTTCAGCCCGGTGTGGATATGTACACACTCAGAGTAACATCAAAAACGCAATAAAACAATTATTCGGAATTCGGTTGATAACACAAACTTTGGGCTTGATAATTCTTCTTATGATGCTCAACATCAATCAACAACTGTTAATTTTGTGTTTGTATTCCAACAGCTTGACATGATAACGTTGAAATGATTTTTTCAAATAAAAAATTATGACGTTATAACGTCACATTGAATATAAGATTCCAACTTTAGTAAGCTATTGATTTCTGTTAGCCAATCAGAAACCATGAATTCTTTTAAATAAATGGTAAGAATTATTATATAAAGTATAGTGATTTATAGAGATTTCGAGCACTGATAAAAGTAATAATCTTACATGTGAGATTATTCATGATAATCTCACATGTGAAAATTATCGCTTTTTAATTATCGCTTTTCTGTAAAAATTATCGCTTTTCAAAGACTGTCCTTTATATAATAATCCAACACTCGAAATAAATCTGGTATTTCCGCGCACGTACCCATGTATTATTCTCTATATATTTCATGTTAAATAAAATTTGGGAACTATGTGGTCAGAAAAGACGAGAAATTGCGGTATAAATGTATTTCTAGCATTATATTCTGCAACATCAAAAACATTTTCAAGTGATCAAGAACTTTAAGTCCAAGCGATATTCCTGTCTGAAGTACGTCAATTATTGAATTTTTCAGGTAGTTGAATCCCGCTGCTTTCTAGAACGGAACTTACGTAATAGCAATGTTTTTTATGTACTATTGAGCAGCAGTGTTTTATCAGATATAACGATACAAAACATGAGCAGCAGTGTTTATCAGATATAACGATACAAAACATGAGCAGCAGTGTTTTATCAGATATAAAGATAACGAGGCAAAGCCGAGTATCTTTAGGTCTGATAAAATACGCACTGCGAATGTTTTAAATAGCTTCAAAAACGATCGATCTAGTAAGTTCATTGGCGAAGTAATTTTCAAAACATACGTTGTGTATATAAGTCGATAAAAAATCAAAGTTAAAGTTTATTTAAATCAAGGGAAATCTCTATCACATATATAAAGATACGACACGCTTATGATTTTTCTTTGTGTTTTCCTCATGAATTATTAATGCGTTTTTGATCAGAAGTAGCCTACTATTTCAAATGTGCAATATCCCTGAAAGAAGAATATCATAAACTTACCTTAAAATATTGTCGTCAAATTCATTAATACTCTTCATAAATTCAGAACATACTTCCTTATCTGGAGGTAGCTTTAGACATTTCAATAAAGTTTCATACTGCTCGGATTTCACATAAACATTATACTTGGTAAACACGTAAACAATTATTACTGATGACAGGACCGCATCAACTTTAGCTTTCGCATCCTTTATTTGACTTTCCAAAACTTTCAAGTTTGCATTGAGTTTCGGAATTAAAATTTTCTCAAAAACCTATACAAGAAAGAAACATTTTATCGATCTTGTCTAATCATATTCCCAATAACATACGCAAAAACGTATAATCATTGCCAATATCATAACTTGAAGCATAAGTTCGAAGCATATAACTTTTCTTTTTGCTACATAAAAGTTTTAGATATCTGAACATCTTGTACTAATCCCACTCTCCTCCGCAGAGCCTTACGAATTTTTAGTAAAATTACGTATTAGGCTACTTGGGAAACAAATTACGTAATTGTTAGTTAAACGCGCTAGGTATGATGGGAAGACGGAAGCTACGTAAGGCTCTGCCATATAATGTTTCCAAAATGGCGTCCAATTACAGACATAAGAATATTAATCATGGGACAAATAGGCCTTTTCAGGATGCAAAAGTTTGCGGTGAATTGGTTTGTTCAAAGTGCATTGAAAACAACGAGGAAGTAAAATTTCTTGACGATGTTGGACCGAAGAAACGTTTCAAAGTTTATATAAATAAACATCACAAGGGAATTTGAATGACAGATTGACAGCATATGCGCTCTGCGTGAATTAACTGTGGTGAAACGCTGCACGTAGTGAAACAATTGTCGAATCTGCGATTAGAGACGGCATGTAAATATTAAATATATTATTTTCGATTGAATAAAAATACAAAGTATATGTACTATAAAGTATGTCTTCATTGCTGTGTCCCCAGTGTATATGTATTTGATTTGGAACAGATTTGGAACAGTGTGCACTTTTTCTAATTTGCAACTCTTGGATGAACCTAGTTGTTGAGTTGTTGCAAGGTTGTAGCCTTCTTGGTGGCATAATAAATGGCCATTAAACCACCCAGGGTTTGTAATGTTTTGTGAATATGTCTACATGCACTGAACTCTGGTAGCTTATATTATCAAAGGTGGCCCGCAGTTATTGGGAGTATAATTTCTGTTGCAGTAACCCTGCCACTTGTACTTTATATGTCTGTCTGTCTGTTTATTTGATTTACTTACTGTATCATGGCAAAGCTAATGGGTCATTCCAGAAAACATCCATACCACCCCCACAGAGGAAATTGGAAGTTAACCCCCCTCCTACCCCCTTTGGATGTCCCAATACATTTACTATTATCAGAAACAATTTTGTCTCCCCTCCCCCATCGGGGAGTGTGGATCTTTTCTGGAACGACCCAATAAATGAGTTCAAAACTTTCACTTTGGAAATTTTAAAACAACAAATAACAATAATTAGATTTATCATTATAATTGCCAGGTTAACCTATAGTAGTATGGTAACATACAAATATCTTAATTATTCTGCAGAATAATTCCGTGGATGATGTGTCAATCTAGCATGAACTAATGTACACAGAATACAAAGTGTCATTTGGCAATGATATAAATTGTTCCAATGATGCCATTACTGTTGCTACCAAAAATCGCTGAGAAACTGTTGACAGTGGAACATTGCCTACAACTCCAGAAAGAATTTCAATAGACGGTGCTGCAAACCAGAGCTTTTCAAATAATATAACATGTCTAGAAATTAAAAAAAAATGTATTTGGACATCGAAAGTTTAGACCAATACAATTTGATGCTATGGAAGCTCGTGTATCCAGAAAAGATACCATTGTTCATTGTTGTGGTCCCAAATGGCTGCCAAAACAAAGACATCTGTTTGAGTTGATTCATTAGGTATATCTACAAAAATTTTAAAAAAACAGGAGTTATCCAAACTGACATATTATATAGGTGCAAAATATTGGATGTAGATCTGACTGGCTATTTCTAGCACAACTATATCAGACCATATTTAATGTATCTTGGGGATTGGTTAATCCTAATTATATAATACTATGTTAATATTGGTTAATCCTAATTATATGATACTAATATTATATATTTAGCAGTTGTAACTTTAATTAGATTGTTGTTTTCATATGAAATTGACATTTCTCCCTGGACATTTTGATTGGATACTTTACACAAAAATATACTTGAGTGGATAGCAAGGTTTGTGTCAGGCTCTATTTGTAAAATAGAGAGAGCAAGATGCAGAAACAAAAATGTGTATTGTAAAAACATTCAACAATTACATATTGGACGAGGATGAGCATGATATCAAGAATTATCTAGACCTCACCCTTTGGCTTCGGCAGATAACATTGACCGGTCTTGATATCATGCGAAACCCAAATTCGATCATTCTTTTATTATGCAATTATGATGTTATTATAATGGCAGGGAAGAAAACCTTATCAGGTGTCTCATTAAAATATTGTCATGTCACCAACAGACAATTTTCAATGTCGTTTTAGGTGGATAAACATTGAGGATTGCCTGTAGTTCTTAGCCAGTCACAATTTATTCTTTTGAGATTGCATCAACATTGTATAATCCAAATAATTCAAATACATTCATTTGTTAAAAGGCTCAGTGGTGGATCCAGCAAGATTTCTCTAGGGGGGAAGGGGGGGGGGGGGGGGGGGG